ATGTATCATTTCACTCTGTTACTCCTGGCTCTCCCCTGCACTATCCCTCCCCCCCGCCCATCTGGAGCCCCCCACGTCAGACCCACCCCTCCCATACCCATGTGCCGAGCTAGATTCATTGACCCCCGTGATCTCCCCCTGCCGGATCCCCTCGGGGTCTCTGCGCTCCCAGTAAATAACTGACTCACAGCTGGGGTGCCCCCACATGGCTGGACGTGGCGTATCGGGCTCCCCTCGGCCAGTGCCCCCTGCCAGCCGTCGCTCTGGCTCTGCCGTGGTCTCCCTTCTCCTGACCCCGCTCTCCGGCCAGCTCACGTTTTACTGCCGCCCCTGCCAGGGCAACCAAAGGCCAACGAGTACCAGCCCAATGTCCTGACAACAGGGCTCCGGGCTGACTCGGGGGCCCTGGGCCTCACACCCCACTCTGCGGGCACTCGCTCACCCTCATCCCCTGCCTGTTCCTCCATCGGACCCCCACTCCCTGGAGGGCCAGATCCTGCCTTTACCTCCGCACTGGGGCTTGTTCCCCCGGCGGCTGCTCCAGGGACCTCCTGGCCTCTTATCGACTTCGCTCCTCGGGAGAGGAGCCCAGAGGCGCCCCCAGCCCCCCAAACTCTCGAATCCCAGACAAGGGCAGCGTTCCTCCCGCAGCCCCTTCTGCTCCACACGTCCTGCCTCCATAACACCCGGCCCCTCTCCCCTCGGACTCAGCTCAGCTGGGCCAGCCCTCCGCCAGGTGCAGCCAGGTGGGGTCCCATGCGGAGCGGATAAAGCACACGACCAATATGGTTGCAAGCTGAATCGAATCCTGTTTATTACAAGCTTTCTTTTATAGTTTTTCTCAACATTACATAACACAATTAGGCTACAATCACACATCTACGGATTGGACAAGAAGGAGAATCATGTGTTTATCACATGTATAGCCCCACACCGATTGGTTCAACCGTTCCTTACATAAGGCCATGATTTGTTTACCTCATCTTATATAATCCTAGACCACCAGGGGGCCTTACCTTGCCTGGTAAGTGTCCCATCGTGACCCTTTTCTCCTCATAGAACTTTCCATTAGGTTGGCGTAAGGATGATACATTCCCACACCTCCCCCCTTTTTCTTAAATAAGGAACTTTTTAAGAAATGTAATATTACGTAAATGCCCACGAAAACCATTGGGGTGTAAATAAGGATAGCCAATAAGACATGTTCTAAAGGGATCCGATGGGGTGGCCATGGACAAGCAAAAAGGGCTTCTTGGCCAGTTTGGTTTGCCCAGGTGACCCAAACATTTTGTCGTGGGTTAACAAAAGGTACAGAGTTTGGACATACAAAGACCCCTGCTCCTATAATAAGGAGTCCGAACAAACAGAAGTACAGCATTATCAGGTGTCTAGGCTGTGACAAACAACAAGTGCAGGTCCGGTGTTGCGGGGTCGTCGTTTGGCTTCTGTGTGGCGGCATGGTGTTCGGGTAGCAATATCATCTGCCGG